GTCCACTGTTAAATTTAGCAGTTGTATTTTTTAAAAGTATATGGATTTAGTTCTAAGCTTTATCAGATTTATTTCATCTACCATCTGTCTAATTTGCGGCTTGATACTTTTCCAGCAATTTACTTCATAGCCTTGCAATCTGTGGATGTAATTTCTTTTATTTTATTCCCTTCCATAAAACTTATTAAATTTTATTTTGTGATAAGACTCATACTATATTTACTGTTCTTATTTCTTCTCCTTTAGTAACAACTACAAAAAGTAATGGCAAGTGAGCTCATAGGGCTCCTCTGAATTTTGAACATGTTTAAAATGTTTTATATTTTTCACAGCCTAAAGTCAGAATGATGCCTAAAGATGTCCCAACAACAACAAAAAAGTATTTAGGGATTCTTCAACTTGTTTCATACTGAATACTATTTTGAAACATAAGTTAAAGCCATTCACTGTTTTTTTGAAGGGGTGGCAGGAGGGAAAAAACAGATAAACTTATTAATACTCAAAATAAATATGGCAAGTGGATGTGAAAACATTTTCCCTACTGTTCTGAGGGCTGTTGATATCCCAAGGTATTGCTGTATCTCCAGCTACAAAGTGGAAAAAAAAATCACCTATGTCAAATAATTTTTCCTTTCTTTAACTTTCAGTTATTTATTTTGATAATTTACCCCCTTTTATTTTTCTTATATAGGTGTATGTGAGCATTCTACAAGGCATGCTGGGTAAAATATACTATGCAAATGTATACAGTGCTGCATGCTTTGTTCTCCCTCTGCTTCAGTGGCTTTAAAGAAAAAAATGTGTTGTTATTTTTGTGAACCAAAACATTTAACAAAGAAAATGCAGAGTGCATGCATATAATATCCTAATTTCTATGGATTTGTTTTATGGAATTTAAATGTGTACAAACCAATTGCGTTAATTTTTTTCTTTTATATAATAAATGAAAAAACACTGAAACCAGCGTTATACCTCTCCTTTATATTATTCTAGAGATATACTGAAGAAATACTGGAAATCAAGAGGTATAAATCTGTACCTCCGAAAGGAAAAAAGTCTAAACATTTACCGTTAAAACACAGATTCAATTAAATGACCGTTTCCTGAATACTGTGCTAGGTGCTATGAGGGATCACAAAAAAAGTACTATATTAGGAAAGAGCTTGTAGGTTAAATGCACACGTACATGAAATAGAATATATTACAAATGTGTGTGAAATAGGATTCAATACAATATAGAAAAATAAACTAAATAAATCTTATTGTTCACAAGAAACCTCTAAATGATTGCTTTAACATAGCAGTTATCAGAATTCCAAAGGTATCTTGTACCCGTAAGAATTCCATGGATGGCATATGGCTTAGGACTAGACATTTCATGTGCTCGGCGTCAGCTGTCCCTGCTATGACTTGATTGGCATTTGACTTTTCTCTCATTGCAGTGTGCAAGAAGTTCAGAAGAAATGTGTGCTATGTTGATTCTTATCACTGCATTAGAATTATACAGTGATTTATTACAGCCAAGTTATTTCACAAGCATTATCACATTTAATCCAGTTGGCACCCCTGTAAAATAGGCAGGGCAGAGATTATTAGACCCAACTACAAATGAGGAAACCAAAGCTCGTTGTCACTTTTCTCTCTAAAGTACTTTTATCTAAAAATATATATTAAATGCTTTTAAGCGAGTAGTCATCTGAAGCATACAAAACAATGCCTGGAATACAACAAATGTTGACTGAATGAATGGTAACTCAGTTACTGAAGTGGTATATAAGGCTGCCCCAACGATCAAGGCATTTCACCCAACGATCCAAAACTCCCAACTGGAAGAACTGCAGCTCACTGCAATCACTCCATCAACCTGGCCCTGTGACTGAAGCCAACTCTCTCGTCATCAACACATCTCCACTAATGAGACGGGTTGTAGAGAGAAACATCTTGTTTGTCCTGCCATCAACATGCCGATTAGCATAGTGGTTAGACTGAGCTCCAACCCTTGCCTGGGTTCAAAGCCTGGATCCAGCAGTAATGAGCTATGAGCTTGGGGCAGACACGTAACTTCCCTGTGCCTGGATCTGTTTCTGTAGAGCTATTTTCTTTTGGTTATGGGTCATATTTTCATGTTTCTTTGTATATCCAGTAATTTTTTTTATTGGAGTCAAGATATTGTAAATTTTCCATTTTGGATGACTTGATCTTGTATTCCTTTAAAGATGGTTGGACTTGTTTTGATAGGCAATTGTGGATCAGTCTGATTCTTTCAAGGTTTGTTTTTAAGCTCTTTAGGACTGGGCTGGAGTAGGACTTAAGATTCTTAGGCTAATTTAGCTCCTCTTCTCAGGTCTCTGGGGTGTCTACTGAATGTCCCATATATTCAGTGAGTTCCCTTTACTCTGGCTGAGGGAAATTCAGATGATTCCTGGCTCTTTGTAAGCTCTAGGAATTACTTGTTTTATAGCTCCCTGGTACTTGTTTTTGACTCAGAAATTATTACTGACCAGCCTCATGGGGTTTCATATGGTTCCATACTGCACACATACAGATTGGCATGCAGCCAAAGACTCAACGGCTCAACCTAGGTAGGTTTCTGGAGCTTTTCTCTGGATAGCTCCCTCTTTTCAGTCACTCTGCTTCACAAATGCTAGCTGCCTTGATCTCTTGGAACACTGATCTATGTTTTCAACTCAAGATTGCCAGACTCTATTTGAGCTCCTGCTCCCTCTACAGCTGCCTGGGAATTGCCTCCAGGCAGAAAATCCAGGTAAAGGTAAACTCATCTCATTTGTGTCTCTTATCAGGGATCACAGTCCTGTCCCGTGTGTTGTCCAATATCTGGAAACAGTTGTTTTCTATATTTTGTCCAGTTTCCTATTCATTAATGGTAGGAGGGCAATTCCAGACCATCCTACTCTCTCATACCTGGAAGCAAAAGTCTCTCCAATGACCTTTGCACATCACTATAATCATGGATAAATTAGTCTTTAAAAAGTCTCATAAGGAGTCTGTTTGCACAAATAGTTCCACTCAACAAGCATTCCCAATTACTTCTATAGTAGTTCCAAATTGGTATTTTGCCCATGGATTCTATAGTTGGACAAGACTGTATTAGGTAAATTCTCTTTTTTTCTTTTTTTTTGAGAGACACTTAGAAAATAATCTCCTTAATGTAGATTATAAAATATGAAGCACTAAATTTGCAAGTTAATATGGATATGACATCCATTTAATAAGCTGACAGAGATGTGTGGTGAGTTTGCAAAATGTCTTAGAGCTGCCAAAAGAATTACCTACAGTGTGCAAGAATGGAACTACTAAAGAGTTAATGTAAACTGGTTATGCAAACAATATTGTTTTTCTAAATAGCCTAGAGAGTATTGTGTAAATATAAACAATTCATAAATTAAAATGAATTAATATAATAATTTTCTTTCTCTTCTTACGTCTTCTCTAAACTTTGGCTTTTTAACCATAAGCCCCAAAAGAAATCAAAGATGGACTTTTTCTTGCACAACTGTTCAAGAAGAGACGCATTTCAGTCATCAGTGCTGCCCTTTGTTTTACATGTAAAAGTTTTCTAGCCCAGACAACTATGAAAAACTCTAGACTGTCTCGAGGTCTTACTCGTATGCTGTACTTTTCTATATATTGAGATAAAATAGTGTATGGCTAGGAGAAGTGAGGTGGAAAGGTATAGTTTGTTGTTGATTTTGTTTCATTTCATTCACCTCTTGAGGATGGGGGGCAAAGCAGTTCAAAACGCCTGTTGCAGCTCCCCTACATGTTTTTTTCTCTTCCTTCATACCAAAGTTAAGGAGACTAGAAGGGAATGGAGGTGTTTCTGGTTTCTTTGTGGAAGAGAAGAAATAACCTGTTTCTTTTTTATGACCTGATGCCTCTAACAAGAGTAAAGACTAATTATCATAGTCATCAGATGACCTAGAATCAAAGGCCCTCAGAGCAAACTCTCTGCTTTTACATATGTAAAAATTGAGCCCTAGAGAGGTTAACTTGCCCAACTGAAAAAATAACACATGGAACAAGAACTCTGATATCAAGTTACCTAATGATTCACTTATATTCTAGTTTTCAACTAAATACCCCACAGTAGAAGGTTGATTAAACACAGTGTGACACTTGCATAGCCCAGGACACGGCTGTTCAAGGTGTACGGGCAAGAAGACTGCAAGAGCAGAGAACATTTGACCAGCTGTTTAACCAGCTTGGAATAATGAGAGTTACAGCTGGAAAGGACAGGTGGGGCCAGCTTGTGGAGTACAATGAGTATCTAAGGTATTTGGACCCTCCTGCTCAATCAGTTTAGGGGCCACTAGATATTTTCAAACATGGGAGTGACTTGATCAAAATCGTTGCTTCGGGCAAAAATTGACTGAAAGTGGAGGGAGATTGGAAAGGGCAGAGCCCTAAGGTACGAAGACGACCATAAGGCGATTGCCTAGGTAAGGCCACTCTGCTGGGTGTCTGGGGCAAGAGGGTTGAGAGAGAAAGGTGTTAAGCATCTCTCAAAAACACTGCTGGAACGCCTTTCTTTGAGGGCCAGGATGTGGGACTCTTGGGTGTAATGTGTGTGAAGGGTTGGGGATGCGCACTGGGCACTCAATAGCATGTTTACATTATGGCTCTGTGGAAGAAATGCAGGGAAAAACAAAACGGCGGCGACTCTACAGCAAGCAGTCCACAGCCGTCTGCCCCAACCCGCAGCCTGCATTGCCTCGATCCCTGGGCTCAGACCCGCAGCCTACAGTTCCCCTGGTTATGCAGATAAGCAGGGGCCAGGCGGGCGCCCTTTCCCAGGCC